GCAAGCACAGACGAGATTTAAGGTATTTACACAATGTGGTGTCGCGTCCCACGTTCTCTTTTCCATTTCAGCATTGTCCTAAAGTAGAGCAAGGCATTACTACACATTGACAGCTATCCCGACGAGCTCGTTGACGGTTTTATTGCGGTCCTTGTATATATATATAGCATCTCCATTTGACAATCGGTGTCCTAACAGATCGACTTTCCAATCGGAATCGTAAAAGGAATTTAAAATTTACCGCCATAATCGAATACACGTGTCTCCATTGATATATTTGCCCAGTCGTTATCGTGATATATTTGTTTGTTTAGTCGAATCAAGATCAACGTATATCTATCTTCTACGTAAGAATTTATTCGAAAACAAATCAAATTTTAAATCCTGCCATGTTCTTAAAGATTGTATTCAATAATCGTATATGAAACGATACGAGAATTATCCAATATAAATCCTAATCTTGGACTGTTCGTTGATCGATTTTTCTGTTTTTTCTTTTTTTCTTTTCATTCATTTGAACATAATTTTCATCGAATTACAAAAGAAAGAATGGATGGATAAATCGGATAACGATTGATAATAACAAATATATTAACAAAAAACGTGATAACTATCTTTGTTATATTCATTAAAAACCATTATCCGTGTATCGATATATATATATATATATATATATATATATATATATGTAACCAAATGTATTATAATTCGTAAATATATTTTTTAAATCGGCAAATCGTTCGATGAAATTCAATGAAAATTATTAATAATGATAAAATTATTGTTCAAAAGAAAGAAAAAAAAAAAAGAAAAATGAAAAATGAAAAAAAAAACAAGCAAAGATTTCTCTCTTCGATTAAAGACCGGAGACAAACTAAATAAAGAGAATACGTTTCTCGTCACCGCCATATCGTCGGGACAGGAGATAGATAGGACACAAAAGCAGTGTGGAAATTCGGGTGGGCTAGTTTCCACGCGACGCGAAGTTAAGCCTCCGTGAATGGAGGGCTCCCGATCGAAAAGGGAGAACTCGTACGTATTGTACATATGTACGTGAAACACGCGCGGTTCTACGTATACAGAGAAAGAGAGAGAGAGAGAGAAAGAGAAAGAGAGAAAGAGAGGGAGGGAGAATTTGTTGGCGTATAGGCACACACGAAACGTAGACAGTACGATCACCTTCTCTAGGCGTGTACCAATAATATCGATGTATGGGAGGGGTCTTTCTCGAAAATTCTCTCAATCTCAGTGGGGGAGGGGTTTTTTGATGCAGCCTGGAATCGCTACTACCACTGATATATATAAGTATATAGGGAACATAGAAAAGTATACGATGTGCGAAGTATAGTTTGATTTGTTCCTAGATTATAACCCCTCTTTCTCGACCTTTGATTCTCTTTCCCTTTCTTTCTCTTTCTTTCCTTCTCTCTCTCTCTCTCTCTCTCTCTCTCTGTCTCTCTCTTTTTCTCTCTCTTTCTCTCTCTCTTTCTCTTTCTTTCTCTTTTTTTTATTCATTTCTATGTTCCTCTAACGACTCTAACGAATAAAAATGGGAAAAAGATCGGAGAACTTCGCAGCTGTAGTAACGTCACTCTTCTTCGATATTATTTTCTAATTCAATTTTTAACTTTTTCCCCAAAATTAATGAAGCACAATTTTACGAATGTCAGTGATACGAAATAGCACAAGGTGCGCATTACGAATGTCAATGATATGAAAGAAAGCAAAAGTTGTTATTATTATTATATATCGGGAAGGCGTGAAAAGACGTTAGAAAGAAAAATAGAATAGAATACAATATAAAAAGAAAAAAGAAAAGAAAAGTAAATAGATAAAAAAGCTATCCATCACACAAATAATTCGTGTAGGCGAATTCAATCCGTTTGTAGTTATTAATAGTACAAATAAGAAAATATATTTGTCATAACAGAAGTGTCAACGCAGCTGCGTCTCCCCCTTTGCACCCACCACCTCCCTGTACCTTGCCCCCGTCCTCCCTCTTCCCACTCGCTCCCTCAGCGTTCACTATCTCTCCCCGTCGCTTGACCCCCGTGTGTGTATCGTACGGGATCGGTCGTTTGGTTGGTTTTCCTCGCGTTAAATATAAACCAGATGGTAGTGCAATTTGCACCTAGGCGTTGATACGCGAGCACATACGGAGAGTACATAACATACATATATACACGCATATGTATATATATATACACATACACGTACATATGCGCGTATACGAAGAGATAGACAAGCGATGCTGTGTTGTGCGGTGTGATCGTCGCTCCAGGCTCTTCGGATGCCACCGTTGCTCGTTCCGTTGCTTGTTGGGGTAGCTACACTCTGGAAGGGGGTGTCGTTGTGCAAACATAGACCGATAATGCCTTTCTCTCTCTCTGTCTGTCTGTCTGTCTTTCTCTCTCTCTCTCTCTCTCTCTCTCTGTCTCTTTGTATCCCCTTTTTCGACCCTTTGACTCTTTTCACTTTGAACGACGTGATCATTTTTTTCTTAAGTTTGACAGTCCCAAACTCATCGACTTATTTATTCAGAAAAGAAGAAAAGAAACTTGGAATAATTTGTGCCATTTTTCGAATTCCTTTTTTCTATTTCTTCTACTTCTTCCTCCTCTTCTTTTTCTTTTTCTTTTTCGTTTTTTGTTTTTCTATCATCGTCATTACAACAATCGGTAGAAGTACTCAAATCGATCTGTTTCATTGAACTGCATTCTTGCTTAAAATCCCATATATCTAGTGTACGTAGTAGAACAACTGTTACAGTACTGTGCCGATAATAACAACAATAACGACGGGTCCTGGTTTTAAAGGTACGGGCATAGATTCATAGGATCGCACCCCTAGCCACATTGTGTATTAGGATTAGAGAACAGACCACGCCGAGACGCGATAGAAAAGGAGAGAAATAGACAGAGTTTGCGGCGTGCTAGGGGATGCTTTTTGTCCCACTTACCCCCCTCCTCACTCTCTCTCTCTCTTTCTCTTTCTCTCTCTCTCTCTTTCTCTCTCTCTCTCTCTCTCTCTCTCTCTCTCTCTCTGTATCTCACGACTCAACCCCTATTTCGACGATCATTCCTGGTCGATGTGAGTACACTTTTTCGAGGACATACACATAGATGCACATATACATGCACACGTATTCAGTTTGTTTGTTGTTGTAACAGAGATATATCACGTACACACATACATGCATACACACACGCACATATACATATATATACTTACATGCATATATAGGTACGTATGTATATACGCACATATATACATGTTGTGAGAGCGTACATTCACAAGATAGGTAGGTATACATATCCAGAACCATTCGATCTCGCCACGGGGGTTGAAAACACCCTTTGCTCGTACGATTCAAGCTTTGATTCGCGCATGCGTGCCGGCAAACGACGAAAGATCCCAGGGGATGCTCTTACGCTAGTGTGAGTATAAGAAAGAGAGGGAGAGAAAGAAAGAGAGGGAGAGAAAGAGACAGAGAGGGAGAGAAAGAGAGAGAGAGAGAAAGAGAGAGAAAGAGAGAGAGAGAGGACAACGGAGAATGGTCCCTTCTTGAATCCCTGTTATTGTTGCGATTTAATGAAATGTTACGCCCGTCCGCCCGCGATTACTTTCCCATTGCGTCGATTAACTCCCCGTTCAGTTTACCCTCAACGTAGTTCGATGTCCTCCTACATTTCCACCTTCTTTTCTTAATACGGAATCTCCATCAACTCCATATGAAGGAAGACTCCTTTTCAAATAAAAAATCCTTTAGATCTTCTTGGATGTCCTTTTTTTCGAGCTCTTAAAAAAAAAAGGTATTTTTTTTTTACTATATTCCAGGTGTGGTTCAAAAATCGTCGAGCGAAATGTAGACAACAACTACAACAGCAACAACAACAACAGCAACAGCAACAACAAAACTCACCGTCTAAGGGTTCGCCGAGAGCAAGCCAATCCCAAACAAATGGAAACCAGAGTGGGAAAATGGCCGCTACGACCAGCTCGTCGACGCAACCAAGTCGACGTTCATCACCGGTCTCCCCACCACGTGGAAAGGAGGCACCAAGTACGAACTCGCCGTTGTTATCGGCCAGTTCGTCTTATCCACGGCTTGGTGTAACTCCGACCGGTGGAAGTGGTGCCAACAGTGCTCTTACGACACCATCACCCCCGCTCACACCTGGATCGAGTCAACTACCCCCATCCTCGTATCCTCCGCCAATGAACCAGATTCACCACGGTGAATACGGTTTCACGTGGAGCTCTGCATCACCCGGATCCGTGAATCCGAGTCAGTGTTATGCAGGGCAGACTTACAATGCCTACCAGAATCCATACACCAGCGGCGATTATTATCAGACCCAAATATCCCACATGCATCACAGTCCGCAGGGGAACTATCACCATCCCCAATATCATCATAACATGGCATTAACGTCTTCGATGTCACATCTTACTACCCATCATCTCAATCCAAGTAGCAGTAACGAGATGACGAATACTACTGCTGATAACGATGGCTACATTTTGCCCGATCAAAAATATCAGGCGATGGTATAGCGCAACACTAGGACCTCAGGGATATTTCATCGTGGACAACAAGAGGCTATCGGGTGCGTTCCTAATTCATCGACGACGGTATCATCTCCGGCATCATCTTATCATTGGCGTATCAATAATGCTCCTAATTGTCATGAAATAAACGGTAGTCTCGATTCTTCCGACGATAATTAATTTCGGTCCACGATGGTTCCTTCGTTTATTCTTTTTCTACTCTTTTTTTTATTCTTTTCCTTTTCTTTTTTCCTTTTCTATGCTTTTTCAACAGAACCCAAGAGAGATTCTGTTTTTTCTTTTCGTCGATTTTTTTTAAAATCGTCGTAAACAAAAAAGGGAATTTTATTAATTGATTTTATTCATTTTTTTCTCGCGATTATTCTTGCTTCGTTAATAAACGTAATCTTCACCATTATTTGGAAATCGTTACTTAAACCACGCCACTCACCCCTCCCACCCTTCCCACTTCCTCTTACCACCCATCCACCGCCCCACTAACATTTAAGAGCGAGCAACATTGTTTTACAGAAGCTTACGCGGAACGGCTTCTCTTACTGATCGATATCAAAGCATAGTTCAGAGGCTTCGAACAATTTTCTTTTTCTCTTTTCTTTTCTTTTTTTCTTTTTTTTCTTTTTTTTTTATACTTGTCACGTAACTTGACGCATTGTCGTCATCTTCTCTACTTCGAAATTTTCATTGCACGATTATTATTTTGGTTTCAACTATTTCTTATAAATATTTAGCGGAGATTTTTATTTAAGATTCGTATACATTTCATATAGCTTTTTTTTTCTTTGGAAACTCACGGAATACATTTTCTTCTATAATTTTTTCATTAAAAATGTAAATAAGAGAAAGTGTGAGCGTGAGTAAATGAATGAATGATAAAGAGATATTTACTTATTATAATTTTCGAGTTATCAAAGTTGAAGAAATAATATTAAATAGAAAAAGACGAATATTTCGAGATAAGTGATATCCAATAAAATCCAAAGTGACAGAGTTAGAAATAGAAAAAAAGAAAAGAAAAAAGCAAAACAAAGCACAATCGACTTTTTCTCTTAATTTTTTTCTTTTTTTTTCATTCGTTTCAAAACAACGTAAAATTATGCATGATTATCTTCCGTCGGAAATAATAAAATGATCACGTCCGTTTTTAACAGGGTGAACACGGAGATAATTATCTATTTTAAAGAATTTAATCAAAATATATTGACAGAATTAATCATCGCATAATTTATCGATTTAATACTTGTTGCATAACAAATAGTAGTCATTTATTTTATACTTATTACCAAGCGAGCCATATAAATATATGATTTGAAATTAAATTAACAAAGCATGAATATTTTTTTAAACGAATGAAATCCTTATTATTGCAATAAATTACAATAAACATATTTAATTATCATAAACATAACTAATAAATTTTATCGATGCACAGATTTCAACATATTATTATAGTGATCTACTGTTTTCTTTTCTTTTTATTTTATCAATTATAGACTTATGATCCATAATAAATATTTAAATTATCTATGACGATAATCTTATTATATTGAATATATTGGATTCAAATTTCATATTTTGTTATAGAAGACATATATGTATATATTAATATACATATATATATATTTTTTAGTTTGAAAATGAATGATATAAGAGAAGTTTTTTTAATAGTTAACCTTTTAACTGTCACATTTTGACAATTCCTTCTTTTAGATTTTGTCTTAAAAAGAAAAAAATAATCTTTATCAGTAGTTAATATGTCAAACGTGATAAGCTAGAAAAAAATAAGATTTAGAACTCGCAACATACTCAATTTACCGAACAAAGAAGAAAAATAATATAAGAAATAGAACTTCATGCATTTCTTACTTGAAAGTTAAAAAAAACTTTCCCAATTCTTTCTTTTTCAACTTTCATTTGATTTAATTTATTTATCAATTTAGAAAAAAAAAACAAACCGCGTTTAAATGCTTGTTTCAAGCATATAAAATAAGTAACACATTTATGATATTTGAAATTTGTTTTACTGATATATATGTGATATATATATGATACGTTTCTAAACTGAATTCAATATCAATCGGATAAATGTCTTTGTGACATTCGTAATATGAAAAAAGAAAAATATATATGTATATATCGATGTCAGATAAAAGTTTTATTAAGATTTTAAGATTTGATAGTAACAGAAAAGAAAAAAGAAAAAATATTCATGCTTCCACAACTTGAAGTAACTGACTTGATATGACGTATGTATGTAGTTACGTACACGTATGAAAATATATTGTGTATACATTTTTCAGGGTTCCTCGCGTAAACGATCAATCCTCACTGCCATCATTATCTTATAGATATATTATGATTGGATACGCGTCCGTTCATTATTGCAATTAATATTTGTATTAATGATTATTCATATCAAAATATTTCTCTGATATATTCGACAACGAAAGATAATTTGTGATGAGTCAATGAAAAGAGATTGTAGAAGCGGGAACTTGTAGTACGGTGAACTGATTATCATCTCAGATGCGATATTAAGATTAAAGTGACGGAAACATTGTATAAGAGCAAAACAAAAGTCGAGCGAAAATAAAAGAGAAAGAGAAGAAAATTAATAAAAAAAAAAATAATAATAAAATAAAATAAAGATTATTCTATGAGTTTGTTGGCCTGCATAAGTGCGTGCGTGTTTCCATACGTTTGTGTGTGTGTGTGTGTGCGTGCGTGCGTGCGTGCGTGTGTGCGTGTGTGTGTGTGCATGATCGTTGATTGATATATCATTAATAAATTCGTCGTCGTTGTATTCTTATCGTTTTCGGTCTACGAAACATTAGAACTGTCTGTCCTCTGATCTAGAATGAAAAAAAGAACAAAAAAAAAGAAAATAATATATAAAAATAATATGAAGAAGAAAATGCAGTTATTAAAAAAGCTCTTTATAGAAAAATTAGGAGTTTCACCAGCTGAATTTGATCGTTTATTAATAATAAATATCGTGAGTGTATTTTATCGTGAATACAACCCCCAAATGTATATTTGTTGTGAAACATTACATTATATAACGATTTAAGGATTTAGTTAAAAGAAAAATAGAATAAGAAAAAAGGTTATCGTTTAATATTAACGATAAAGTTAAAAAGCATAAAAAGAAAAAAAGAAAAAGAAAAAGAAAAAAGAAAAAAAAAAAGAAAAGGAGTTATAAGAAGCGACAAGCGAACAGAAATTCTGTAATCAATATTGTGAGCATATAGGATTTAAGCTGATTTATAAGAATAGTTATAATAATGATAATAATAATAATAATAATAATAATAATAATAATAATAATAATAATAATAATAATAATAATAATAATAATATTAATAATAATAATAATAATAATAATAATAATAATAATAATAATAATAATAATAATACTATTAATAATAATAATAATAACAATAGTTAGTAATGATAAAGATACGGAAAAAATCATATTAATATTAATATTATTGATAATAATAGTAATAATAATAATAATAATAATTATAATTAATATTAATATTAATAATAATAATAATAATAATAATAGTAATTAAAATATCATCACAGCTATGCCAATGTACATACATTTAGTACGTAATTACATTGTAAGATATACATATATGATCGTTTTATCGTGTGAGAAGTGAAAGAATCTTCATACATCAGAATAAAAAAGAAAAAAAAGATAAAGCAAAATGGATATTATTAATAACAAATCATTTTCTTCGAGTGTTATTAAAGTGGACGATTTTGTCTTCTTTGTTCTTTTTTTCGATATTTTTTCATCAATATTTTGATCCGACTTATGGTAAGTACAAAGATTTCGTTAAAATAGAAAAACAGAAAAAAAAGAAAAAAATGAAAAAATAGAAAAAGGAAAAAAAATAAAAAATAAATTGAAGATAAAAAGGAAAATTAACAAAAAAAAAAAAATAAAAAAATAAAAAAATAAAAAAAGATAAAAAGACCACAGGACAAAACATTTTTCACGTAACTTTGATGTCCAATCTTTGAATAAAAAATTCAAAAAAAAATAAAGATAAAAACAGAATAATAATAATGATGATAATGATGATAATGATAATAATAACAACAACAACAACAACAATAACAACAACAACAACAACAATAATATACGTTTCGATACTTGCACAAGAATTCTACAGTGATTCGCAATACCGTTCACTATTAATCACATTGATGTGTTAGCAAGAGAGCATGTAGCCTCCGGCTGCAATTCTGCTAATGCATCTGGGTATTAACTAACGTTACAACGCAACCACCGGATTCTCCATTATTTTACCATACTCACCCGAGTTTATCGATCGTATGCGACATCGTGCGTGATATTAATTACAAGTCGGTGGTCAGGTCTCGGCGATAGAAAATTTATCACGTATCTCTATATTCATGCTTATTTTACTAACGAATTTAACAATGTAAACGTATCAATCAAAAAAGAAGATAATATATAAACAACAAATGATAATACAATAAATCATTAGAATAGATAAAAGAGATAAATAGATAGATAAATAAAAATAAAGAGAGAGAGAGAGAGAGAGAGAGAGAGAGAGAGAGAGAGAGAGAGAGAGAGAGAGAGAGAGAGAGAGAGAGAGAGAGAGAGAGAGAGAGAGAGAGTGATAGAGACAGGAAGAGAGAGAAAGATAGAAAAAGGAAGATTATCCTCCATAAGATATGATCCAAGTCGATAAGACAAGATTTAGGGAAAGTTTTATCATGAGCTTTGGCAGTGGCTTTCATAACGGCTCATTAAAGGATCACAGGTGTACCGGATGCTGTGGTAGGTAGGGGGTAGGTAGGTACGCTTAAGAGTGAATCGTATGGAGCATAGCAAAAGCAAAGCGTATATACAATATATATAAATATATATATATATATATATATATATGTACGTATGTATGTATATATGTATACAATCATCTAAACGGTCTAAACATCGCAACAAAGGATCCCCATGCAGCTGAAAACGAGAGGAGAGTCCAAGCACGTTCGGCTAATTGGACGGATCGCGTACTACTACTCCTACTACTACTACTACTACTACTACTACTACTACTACTACTATTACTACTACTACTACTACTACTACTACCTGTCTACCTTTTGACGGATTAATCTCAACGTCCTTTCTAACTCATCAAATTAACGAGGTATAACAAATCGGCAAGTACCGTCGAATCCTTTGATGACCCTCTTTTGCATTATAGAAAGAGTAGGAATAGTAGTATAGTAGTAGTAGGTAGAGGAGGAGGAGGAGGAGGAGGAGAAAGAGGAGAAGGAAAAATAGGAAAAGGATATAAAATCCTTTCTTTATCATATTCTTTGAATAAAAAGAAACGAAGATATCGATCAAAGCTAGACGACCCTCATTGATAAAATCATCCATCATTTCTATTTTCTCAAAGGGATGGACGATCGAGGATCAATTATTTCTTATATTCTAAAGATGAAAAATATTGAATTGGTAATTGGTCAATATTGAACATTTTTATATGTCATATAAACGGTTAGGTCGATTAGATCATGAAAAGATAAGTTCAACAGGTGTTGCGATCTATCCAATAGGCTCGAACCCAAGATGTGGCTTAGACCCATCTTTGAATTCCCTAAAGTGGGAAGACGACAAGTCTGTCCATTTCGTCCGTTCACTTTCGAGCACGGGCGAAGACAATGGCCTTGAACTTGGCCGAGTACCACGGCGAAGAGTTAAAATCGGCTTGCGTTTAGCCGGATCCCATTATAACAACTCGGAGCCGGCAGTAAGCTCCATGGCTTGCTTCTGCTCACTGTGTCACCGGGCTAAGCCCCGACTTACCTACCTATCCTTGCAAACGGTTCTCTCTCTCTCTCTCTCTCTCTCTCTCTCTCTCTCTCTTTGTGTATGAGTATGTGTGTGTCTGTGTGTGCGTGTCTCTCTCTCTCTCTCTTTCTCTTTGAAACCCTTTCCTTTAACCTCCCTGTGCCTTCGAAAGCTTTAGCAATACTTAATACTTGTATTATGTTTGCCATCACCTTCGTCACTACTTCTCCTCCCTCCTCGAAAACATTGAGAGAAGGAGAGAGAGAGAGAGAGAGAGAGAGAGAGAGAGAGAGAGAGAGAGAGAGAGAGAGAGAGAGAGAGAGAGAGAGAGGGAGAGAGAGAGGGAAAAGAGAAAAAGATAAAGACTTCTTTCAAAATCTTAGGTACCATCTATTATATTTTTGTTTTTAATTCTCCATTTGTGATTATAGACCGATTGAAAATGGAAACAAGTGTATTTCTAATTGTTTACTCATCTTCTCTATACATTTTCACAAGATAATTTTTTTTGAAAAGAAACAATAAGAAAAAAAAAAAAAAAAAAGAAAAAGAAGAAAAGAGAAACTTGTGACAACGTCTATCTCCGATTGAGATCGCCGATGAATATCCCGGATAAAATTTTTTTACGATCAATCATCAATCCTCGAGAGGATCGATAAACCTGACAAAATCAACGCGATAAAGTCTAAATATCTGTCGGAGAAAGTATCTGTAATTACTTTTTCTATCTCTTTTTCTCATTCTTTTACATGTCCATTCTCATTGTCAGAGAGAAAGAGAGAAAGAGAGAGGTTGAGAGAACATAGAAATTTACGATCTTTCTCGACGATCTGTTGAATCATTATTTATTATTCGCATAACGACAAGATAATAAATCTTGTCGTTAATCGTGCCAAAGATCGATCATGAAATGCGATTATAAGAATCGATATATATATATTTATATGTATATATATATATATATATATCTTACTCTTACTCTCTCTCTCTCTCTCTCTCTCTCTCTTTCTCTCACTTTATTTTTTTTCTTCTTTTTATAATTTTTTCGTTCTTTTTTTTTTCTTTTAATCCTTTTTTCTCAAATGTTCTTTTTGTATAGTGGACCCAGGTGAGAACAATGTCTGTCGACGTATTCGACTGTTTACGTTCATTACACTTTTCACCTGCGTCCTGTCCGTACTCAGACTCGTTAACCATGAATAATGAACGTGAAGAGCGCGAAAATGTCTGGGAATTTGTGGTTAAGCCGCAACATGCCGATCGAAATGCTAATGATGCCCAACATTATAATTCTGTCTCTGATCCATGAATGGGGATTAAATGTAAAAGTATGCGTGACATCAATGATTTCGAATTTTCCACTTGTGCGTGTTCATTGATATAACTCTAGGAAAAAAAAGAAAAAAAAAAAAAAAAAAAAAAAAAAAGAAAGAAAAAATATACAAGATATTTTGCAGATGCAATTTGTTTGATCTTCATTCATTACGTCTATGATGTCAAATAAGATTGAACCGTTTGTTTTTTATTTGTTATCTTTTTTTTTTTTTAAGAATAAAGAAAAAAAAGTCGACTGTCACAACAATCTCGATTTAACTATTTAATAAAACAAAACTATAGTAATAATAAAAGTAAAAAAATTTTTAAATGTGATTATTAAATGTTATTATTGTAAACTATTATTAACTATTTAACTATTAAATTTTTTTAACTATTTAATAAAACAAAACTGTAGTAATAATAAAAGTAAAAAAATTTTTAAATGTGATTATTAAATGTTATTATTGTAAACTATTATTTGCGATATAATTAACATTGTTATAATTTACAATATAACAATGTAGGTAGTATACATTATTATATTGAATATTAATGATCAGTTAATATGTATTGATTGATTTAAAAGTTAACGAATATAATATTCGACAAAAATGATATTTCGCTACTATGTAAATATATTAGTATATATTATAGATATAAAAAAAGAAAGTGGGACTGATTATACTA